CAGATAAAAGATAAGATGATGGTAAATTTACAACCCAGTCTGTCAAAGTGACAGATAATGATTATTTGTAGCACCACCTCTGCACTCCTTTCATACTGGTTAACGTGGTTCTGACGGTTATAAAGTGATTGAAAACTAACTGCATTGGAGAACAGAACATTTTTCAATGAGTGAATTCTATTCAAGTTTTTTTTTTTTTTTTTATCTGGATAAATCCATTCAGCAGGAAGCGATGAAGTGGTTTTTGGAATGAGTCATTGTTGGAAAAACTGGTTACAGATTAAGGCCCCCTTGAACTTAGAGGACTATGGGCCCTCTAGTCAATCTGTCCTTGCACATTTGTCATCATTAATGTCAGCCTGAAATCAAAAGTGTCATATTGTGCTCAGTCATGTTATTCTATATTATATATGTGTATACACCTTGCTCAGCCTCTGAAATGGCTTTTCTTTCCTGCTGAATCATGAATCACTCTTACCTTGCCCCTACAAATCAACCAGCTGTGTAATGCCTACTGTTGTTCAAACTCCAAAATCCCACCATACATTTTTTTCTCATTGAATATCACATTTGAAAAATAATGTATATCAGATTACAGAAAGTAAATATAACGGATACATCAGCCATTTCTACATATCGCACTGGATAAACTAAATGCATGTGTGTGAACATCATAGAAGAAAATGTTACCATCAGTTAGTTTTAATTGTAGAAGAAAACTAGTTAATTAAGCTTTTTGTGCCATTTTCATATTCCGGGTTTACATTTGTCTGTGTCAATGTCACAGGATGTGATGTTTTCCTGCACCATAGTATACCGATGATCGAGGATCGGAGTCTCATAATTATTCATGAGACTGCGTGTCCTTATCCTATGAGAAGACGCCTTGCTTAAATATTCACGACAGCATGCATTCATTTCCTATGACAGATGCTTCAAACTGTAAGATCACAGAGTAAGTGAGAGATGCATTAATGAATCAAAAATTATTTTGTTTTTGCTTTGTAAGAGTTTCTGCGTCACATAAGTTCCATTCAATAGAGTATTAGACACAAACACGATTCATCCACAGTGTGAGTTACCAGTCCTTACGGTCCAATAACCGATCAAACGGCTTATTAAAAAAATGACGATACATTATTTATTATATATACTTATTAAAGATACAAAAGTGCATTCATTTATATTTTCAATGCAAAGTACAAGTGTGAACGGCTGTGCATTTATTTGTGCATTAAAGGGGTCATATAATGCCATTTTTGTACAAGTTAATATGAATGTTTAGGGTCTAAATGAAAACTTTGTAATATACTTTTATTAAAAATTCTCATTCGTATTTTAAGAAAACGTTAATTTTACCTGGTCAAAAACAGCTCTGTTTTCAGCACGCCGTTTCAGTGCATATGCCTTTAAATGATAATGAGCTTCGCTCACTCCGCCTCTCTGTTCTGCTGGCGTTTTGACAACGCACGTGGAGTGTTGCCTTGACAACAGTTGAGGGTATATTTTGGAGAAAGAATGGCATCGGGAGTCTCTGAGGACACATCTGTGCAATCGTATCAATTTGAACCGGAGTCGCACCCGGAACAAGATGACGGCCGCAAAGAAGTTTGACAATTAAGGCTCGAACAGGACGTTTCTGAATGGTTGGTTAACATAATGTCACTTTGATCTATTTTTGTATGCACTGGCAGGGTAGAGTAGTGAGATACGAACGCTGTGTGTTTACTGATGTATAGATTAGTTCATTGACAGATTGACGTTACAACTAATGGTCATGAAAAACTTTTTTCCGCAATTTGCAAAGATTAATATAAAGGTTAATTAAACTTTACACTCACTTCTTCTGGAGGTGCATAGGGAACATAAATAGTTGGTACCGATTCTTTTTTCAGGAGCAGCTTCTTAGCAAAACCAGCTTTATACTGACCCTCGTTTATAAAGCAGTCGGGTGAGAAATGATTCGCACAAACATGAACGCATTGACGTTGATCGTGGGTAATATTCCCTTCGAAAACAAAACTCAGCCACTGCGTCTTCAGCGGTTCGGATTTAGGAACAAAATGACTGCTGTGTTCGTTATTACACCCAAGAACAGAACACCACAATCGCTTAGACGCCATTCTGCTCCAGCGTATCAACAATAGCGGACTATGATGACAGCTCGCTCAGGGCGGGTCTGTGTTGAAACACTGCTGTCAATCAACAATCGTGGGAGGGGCGTCGACCATGTGAGGTCACACGGTCGAACGGCTCGATTTGAGACTGGGAAAAACATATAAGGAGATTAAAACAAAAACACTGGATGGATTTTTATCATTATGATGGTTGTGTACAGGCACTGCCAAAACACATTTCAGACAGTACAATCAACTTGTAAAAGTGCATGTACCTTTATGTGACCCCTTTAAATTATAGCTGTCACAGGATATGGTGAACGTGATTTTACCAAGTACAACAGGTTCCTTCACCATTGTTGTTGATCCTGGTACAACATTCCAGTCAATCAATCAGATTTGAGGGACAAGTTTACAGTTTATGTCAAGTTCAGGCTTACAACCATGGGTTAGGTGCTTCTACATTAGGGCTATTCACCTATCATTTTCCTCTGATTTTAGTGATAAGTTATGGGTAAGGTTAGGTTTAGGGGTAGGGATATGGGAATGTTGTTCCAGGATCAACAAAATCACCACGCCCACTTTTGCAGCATTTTTCAAAACTGTGATAAAAACTAACTAATGCTAAAACAGGGGGTTTAATGACCCTTTAAAAGCATATGGGTCAACCACTATTTCAGATATGGAAAAATGAATTACGATTTGATGAAAACATTTTCTATTTAAGATTATATGCCCTAACGAGTCGAGCTTGGGGTCAATTTTAATTTCATGTCTTTAAATAGTAACACTTAATTCTCTTTTGCAGGATTTTTGTGGTTGGCTTCTCCTCTTGGTTACTGGTAAACGACTTTTGGGTGGTATGAAATCATGCATCAGATACACAAGCTGCAATACTGTATTAGAGCTGACATTATCTACAGTCCTTAAGCATGTCTTTATTTATTCAGATTGGGGCTAATTAGCATGGCAACTTCAGCACACAGGCTAATATGACATTCAATGCACAATAATAGAATGCAGGGCATAATTTCCTGTCTAGGTTCTCATCTCGTAAGGCCAAACTAATTATCACAGCTGAAAGGTCTTGTGTGACTGAGAACTTAAATACTCTATCCACCCGCTGATATATCTCATCAACATAAGCTTTATTTGTACCAAAAAATACAGGACTCGCTTAATCTGATTGTGGGCATCAAATGCTGGTCAGTTTAGCTCGGATCACTATTATTGATCCTCTAACCTCCATCACTGACCTTTTACTCTAGAATGAAGACCTCGGTTTTAGTGAATAGATGACCTGAATGGAGGATCATTGAATAGAAGTAATTTTTTATCTCACAAGCGCTTTACTGCTTTGCCTTTGCAGTCTGTATTGTGCATTTCAGCCAGTCTCACATGTAAATAACTAAATCTGGAAGACAGAACCCCTGCTATGAAAACTTTGTTTCTCTTTCTAATAGAAAATCTCAAAGGAATAGTCCTCATTCTCCCTCTCTCCCATCTCAGTTCCCTCTGAATCTTTTGCTCTTCCTGATCAGCTGCTGTTTTCTATGACAGAGTTAATGCTGAGAGAATAGATTTAATTGATTAAAAAAAGTTTTTTGCCTATGTTTTATTCTATTTTTTGTATTATTACAGAGAAAAAAATCCACTCTGTCACTCCTTCTAATTGGCTTGTGCCAGGATATGGTGTGTTGGGCATGTGCCCAATTTGTACCACAAAAGCATCGAATCTCTGGAGCATGACTAACGAAATCTCTTAATTCAAACCAAGTGTTCCTCCTTTCCCTTCGGAACACAAAGAGGAAAGACAGAGCAAATCCTGTGATCCTAAGAAAACAAAAAAGCTCTTTTATCTCATTAAACCACAGAAACTGAAAGATGTATTGAAAGATGTAATGACACCTGCCTTTTGCACCAAATGTCACCAAAACCAGATCAAATATTTAATCAGAATTGTAAATGAGTATCAAATAACACTGATGTTAAAAAAATATCTAAAAATAAGTGATCGGCCATGTTTGCGAAGCAAATAGCATGGACAGAAAAGTAAGCTCATATTCTCCTGCTTCAAATGTTACACTAATGTATCCCAGTCAGATTCTGTTGTTGTACTTGCAAAAAGTGTTTACATGCATTTAATAATATAGGTACAGCATTTTGACTAGGACATATTCTCATTCATAACATTGCTTAAATGCACTAGGCCTAACTAATAATTGTGGTGCAAAGAAACATGAATCATTACTGAACCTGCATTAATTAATTAATTAATTAATTAATTATCTATGTATGTTAGTTTTTTTTTTAAACAACAACCACATAGAGTCTGGCCAATCTACTCTACTCTACATATCAGTTTCAACTGTAAAAGCCCATATCAATAGAACGTGTAACGTTTGGGGAAGTCTAACAGCTCTCAGAGGCTTTGGTTGCTCTGACTGGATCAATTTAACAGGCACCTATCAATGCATATCTAATCACAGGGTCAATATTCTGGACCCCCTCAGAGGATCTACAGCAGAAACACCAAATGTGACTGAGTTTGACCTCACGCACTATAGACACTTCTTAAAAGTGTCATTTCACCCAGGAAATAGGCCTACAGGTTTGGTCTTTTCCTTACACAACAAAATATCATATGGCTTTAGATTCTTTGGAAGACAGATCATAAGTGGTACAGAAAACTGTTTGATAATTTTTTGGCAGCCTGGCAGTTACTTGCCATCAGGGTTCATTGAATTAAACAGAATTACTCAAACATTGTGCAATATTTCTCCTTTTGTTATTCATAAATCTATTCAGGGTTCAAAGACATGGCAGTGAGTAAATGATGACAACATTTTCATTTGCATCTCTCTCTCTGTTCCCGTCTCTCACCTTCCATGACGTAGACGAGGGAGCCCACGTCCCCTTCTTTAATAATACAGCTGTTTTTTTCATAGTCCACTGGATACATACAGTCCACTATCTCCTGGATCTGAGACATCTCAAGATTCTTCATGAAGTCATTGTCCAGGATAGCTGACTTAATCAGTTCCTTTGACCTGTGCAGTGCAGAAAAACAGTGTTAGGTAGGGCTGTGACAATACTTTAACATAGCAAAGACAATGACCATACCAAAATACTTTGTAAAACAATGCATTATGCAACAATAAACATTTCAAGCAGTACCATGCCACATTATGGTCATATGACCTCATTATGATTTATTTTGTGATGTCTACTAACTCTAAACTTATGGCAATAAAAAAATAATAATAATAATCACTATGAGTAAAGAAAAAGTTGTACAAAATAATAACTGATACTGTCAATATTATACATGGGTGAGTTTCCTTCACCATATGGAACTGCAAGGTAATGCAGAACACATGCATTTTTGAATATAGAATCCAATGCAATGTGCTAATATGTTGTATAGATTTTGGCAAATGAAGTGCAACATCCAGGTATTATAATTCGCAAACATACATATATATATATAATATAATATTATATAGGCCTATATATATACTCACTGTAGAAATAGTAAGAGCTGCATGATAGTAATCTGAACATTGCCAATGAGATGCTTAATCAACAGGGAATGTGGGTTAAAAAAAAAGTTGAAATGAAGAAGATATTTCAGAAGATGAAAGTAAACAGACAAAGTCTTTTAGTCAGTGCTGGACGTCACAGCAAACAAAAATCAGAAGACTGGCAGAAAATGAGGATTTCAAAGGTTTGCATCACAGACACACAGATACACAAATACACTAATTTCAACTAAAAGTCAACGTAACCTTAACCTCCCACACAAGGACTGAACACAATGAACAAAATATTTCCAAAGACATGAAATATCAGATGCAAAACTCTTTTTGTTCCCATGATGAAATACTTCGCTAATATGCAGAAACTGACTTATGAAGAGTGTAAACACTGTGGCTCTGTTTGCACTATAAAAACATTGCTCTTTTTTTGTTTGTTTGTTTTTTTGAGCAGCCAGAGAGAACTTCTTGCACTACGCTTTTGAAGCGGGATCTGTTTGAATGAAAAATGGCAGACGGGGGGCAGAGTGTTCTGGAAACCTGTTTGGAAATGCAACTCAAGTCATTATTTATGCAAATCCATTTAGTTCAGCAAAATGACATTTGCTTGCTCATGTGATGGTGGATGAAAAAACCTGGTTTGATATGGTGGAGTGTTCTTCAAATCTCACTATCTCTGTTTATACGACACTTCCGAACATTCCTCAACAAAAAGACTATCATTGTGACAGCAATTCCCTGTTTTTGTAGACCTGGACTCACGCCAGACATCTGATTTAGTTACTAAAACCCACAAACGCTCACCTATGAACCACACTGTGTTTACATTCCACAGACACGCTCCGCTGTGAGCAGAAATAGGACTTTTTTTAAGATCTCTGCAGTAGTTTACATACAGCTTCTTTCACTTTCACACATGGATAGTCTCACCCTGAGGAAAATTTTTATTGACTTTAACGTGGGAGATATAAAAGTAGAAACAAATTTGACAATTGCTGACATGCAATCAAATTAAAGAGCAATAAAATGAATTTGAATGGCATTGCTCAGTTCATGTGTTGTTGGAGGAATTTGATGAGGAATATGTGAGATTAGTAGGTTCTTCAGGAGAAATATCCTGAGAATCAAGACATTTCAGCAAAAGTCTTATTAATATAACTGGTTTAATTTGCTGCATAAAAAAGTAGCCATAAAATGCATTTAATATCTCTCTGCTTTAACGTTTGTGCTCTGTTTTGTGGTTTAGTTTTGTGGTATTTTTGCATGCCAGTCTGTGACGTTGGCTCTCTGGAGGAACAGTCAGAAGAGATGTTTTGCATCCAGTAAAAGCACAGAGATCACTGGCCTCATTTAAGACAACCTCTGGATCATCCATAGCCTCTGTTTGTTTGACTTGAATTTTTACTCGCTGCCTTTTTCAGGAGGATTATTCACGTCACACAGGTCGACAGACTGTCTCTCCCTTAAAAGGACAAAGTATGCCAAGGAAAGAAAATTTGGAGAAAGCTGTGGACGTGGAACTGAACGTCTTGTACAAAGACACTGAATAGATCTTGCACATAAAAATTCCTACAAGAAAGTTGTGCATTGGTAGGCATTTTGTTTGTCTTGCAACATTTTTCGTCAAGGGAATAGTATTAAAAAATACTGGGGGGGAAAAAACTGAAGAATGAATTCTCTATTACCGGTGCAGAGGACTGTCCGGAGGGTCTGTATTGATTCACATATTCTGCCCTCTCTGCGTGGCTGCTGTGGCCTCATTGGAAAGCCATCAGTTGTTCTGTGGTCATCAGATGTGTATGCTAATGAGTTAATGGCCATATCTTCCTCTGTTTATTATGCCCATTTTCTAGACAGAATGCTAAAACAGGAAACAAAGTCTCATGGCAGATAACAGCTCATACTGCACATGACATGGCCATTCATTTGTCTCAGGTTATTATGCAAAGTTGATTTATTTCTAGATTTGAGCTTACTCTGCAGAATTAAGAAACAAATAATCTGTCCTTTTCCTTTATATTTTGAATGAAAACTGCGCTGTTGATGCTTATGACTATAAATGCCGAATGCATTGCTGTGATGTACAGTATATTGATTTTAGCCATATTCTGACTCAGTGGAATAGAATCTTAAATTTAATTTTATACCTGCTGTCACGGCCGGCTCTAAGCCGCGACAAATGAGGGAGGCAACGAGAACAAAAGCCAGTCAAAGAGATTTTATTTACAATAAAGAATAAGCTACATAATGAACGCAAAACACAATAAACACGTTCCAATAACACAGGCCTGTAAACACAACTTCCCAACTAAAACTAATACATAAAGCAAGCAAACAAAATAAAACAACAACAACCCAAACTAACAAAAACCAGAGGGTAACCGAAGCCACCTCAAGTCAGAGAACCATTACCTTTTATAACCCTCTGCAGGTGTTCCACATTAATGACCTCAGTAGGACGGGCCTAGAGGCACGTCACACACCCCCCCTTAAAAAATAAACCCACATACAAACAAAACAAAACACTTCCAACAGGGTACATCCCAACCTCCTAACTAACATCACAAACTTCCTAAAGCCTATCTAGTCTTCAGTGGCTTGCCGAGCTCGGGGCGACTTTAAACACTGAACTCAGCATCCTCAACAATCCCATAACCAGGACTGCCGAAGAACACTGAAGCGTACCCCCACTCAGGATTACCACCCAAAACAAAAAACACCCCCCCCCCCCATAACTAAACTGGGATGTACACACACAAAACAAAAATAAACAAAACAATGTTCCTAGACTACAGAACTCCCGAATAACAACGATGTCACAGCATCTTCCAGAATCCACTCATCTCCACCCACCATAATACTCATCGACCTCGGCACCTAAGAGACAAGCTTGAGACAGAGAGAAACAGAAAAACAGGAAACATCGTGGCAACACATCATACTCGTGACAGAGCATCCGCAATCACGTTTTCTGTACCCTTGATGTGTCTTATATCAAGATGATACCCTTGTAGAAAGATACACCATCTCATGAGTCGCTGGTTTGGGTTCTGCAAAGAATGAAGGAATGTTAGAGGATTGTGATCTGTAAAAACCACCAATGGCCCTCCCCCTGAACCCACATAAACCTCAAAATGGATAAGTGACCAAATTAGAGCTAATGCTTCTTTCTCAATAACAGAATAGTTAAGTTGATAAGCATTAAACTTTTTAGAGAAGTACCCCACCGCACAGTCTACCCCACCTTCTGAGGTCTGCAGTAAAACAGCTCCAGCTCCCACATTACTAGCGTCAACTTGCAATTTAAAAGGTTTATCCAGTCTAGGTGCAACCAAAATTGGAGACACAGTAAGAAGAGACTTAACATCCTCAAATGCTCTCTGACACACAGAGGTCCACTCAAATTTGATTCTATCTCGAAGCAGGTTGGTAAGAGGAGCTGCCACAGTAGAAAAATTCTGACAGAATCCCCTATAAAACCCAACCATCCCAAGAAACCTCATTAATTCCTTTTTAGTTGTAGGGGTAGAAAATTGATCAATTGCTGCCACTTTAGCTCGAACAGGACATACATGACCCTGACCTACAACTTTTCCAAGGTAGATTACAGTGGCCTTAGCAAATTCACATTTGCTCAAATTAACAGTGAGGTTAGCCGCAACCAGACGATCTAACAAAGCTCTAATCCGACTTAGATGTTCTAACCAAGTGTCACTATAGACGACTACATCGTCTAAATAAACTGCACAACCTTCCAAGCCAGAGATAACTCGATTCATTAATCGTTGAAACGTAGCTGGAGCGTTTCTCAGGCCAAAACTCATAACCTTATAGGAAAATAGACCTGACGGAGTAACAAACGCAGAGATCTCTTGGGCTCTAGCTGTTAGAGGAACCTGCCAATAACCCTTTAGCAAATCAAATTTGCTAACATAAGTAGCAGACCCAACTTGGTCAATGCAATCTTCGATTCGTGGCAAAGGGAAGGAATCAGGCTTAGTTAGTGCATTTACCTTCCTGTAGTCTGTACAAAATCTATGAGAGCCGTTGGCTTTTCTAACCAGAATACACGGAGACGCCCAGCTGGAATAAGAAGGCTCCGCTAACCCATTTTTCAACAAGTATTCAACCTCAGCCTCTAGGTGTCGCTTTTTCTCCAACGGAACACGGTAATAGTGCTGATGAACGGGTTTTGCGTCCCCCACATCAATATCATGATCAATTAACTTCGTCTGTGTGGGAATATCTGAAAACAGAGACACGTACTCATTTATTAAAGCGGACACATCAGAATATTGAACATCAGGGAGATGTTTCAACATCACCCCCAAATTCTCAAGGGCTTCTGTGTTTTTAAAACAGCCCTGTGTGACTGATTCACCCGGATCCAGACCCTCATCATCGGAAACAGGCCCCGCAGGAACACCTCTTAAAGATGTTTCCACCCCTGCGTCAACCAAAAGCACAGGCTTCACTTGGGATCCTTCTGGATTTTCAAAAGGCAAAAGAGAGTT